CCCGTAACAGGCCCAAGGGAGGCCCCCCGTGTCCCCTTAGCCCCGGGGACAGGCCTGGGGAGGTGGCCCCCGTGTCCTCTCAGGCGCTGGGGAGGCCCCCCGTGTCCTCTTAGCCCCGGTGACAGGCCCGAGGGAGGCCCCTGTGTCCCCTTAGACCCAGTGACAGGGCTGGGGAGGTGGCCTCTGTGGCCCCTTAGCCCTGGTGACAGGCGCAAGGGAGGTGCCCTGTGTCCCCTCATCCTGGTGAGAGGCCCAAGGGAGGCCCCGTGTCCCCTCTCCCCAGTGACAGGCCTGGGAAGTGGCTCTTCTCCCTCCCCACCCCAGGCCCTGCAGGTAAGAGGTGTAACAACCCCCCCCACTCCCTCAGGTCTTGTTCCTCTTTGTCCCCTGCCCCAGCCAGTGCCAGCCGTAGGGCTTTCTCCTTGTCATCCCAGCCTGGTGACAGGCTTAAGGGGCCCCTGTTTCCCCTCCCTGTTGCTGGTGACAGGCCTGGGGGTGTCTTGGCTTGTCCCACTCACTGGTGACAGCCTGGGGGGTGCCTGCTCGTCCCCTGGGGACAGGCTGGGAGTGCTCCCTCCCCCTGCTCCCTCCAAGCCCTATGGTGGGCTGCAGCCGGGCTTTGCGGCTGGAGGAGGCGTCAGGGCGGGGGTTTGGGTGGCTGCTTGGGGGTCTCTGTGGCCATGGCCGTTGGGTCTCAGTCTCATCCGCCCTGTGTAGATGTGCTCGGTGCCGATCCCCACATTTCCTCTCTCGGGGTGCCGGTCGGCAGGGCTGGCCCGGCGGTGGGCCTTGGCTGGGGGTGAACGCGCCTCGGCCTGGGCTTTCCTCCTCTGCAGAGCGCTGGCAGCCGAGGAGAGCAAGCCCGGCAGCTGCTCATTGACCTGGAGACGCGCGGGAGTCGGGCTTTTCCTGTGTTCCTCTCGATCCTGCGGGACACCGGGCAGGGCGACCTGGCGGACATGCTGATGGAGGAGTGTGGGCGCCCGCCGGCGCCGCCGCAGCTGGTCGACCTGAGGCCTGTGGAGCTGAGCTTCCGTGGGGAAAAGCACGGTAAAAGTAAGCGTTGAGGGCGCCGCTGTTTTCTGGGCGAACGGCAGCGTGGGGGAGCGGCAGCTGGGATCCCTCTGGCCATGGGCAATCGTCTCCGAGGTCCCGATTTTGTCGAACCCTGAAAAGGGGAACGCGGAGGCGACGTCGTATCGCTGGGTGGGTGACTTGTCGCCTGAAAGCGGAAGGGGGTGGAGGCGAGCCCCGATGGTGCTGTGTCGTTACAGCCGTGAACTTGCCTCAACGTTTGTCTGTCCCAGTCCGAGCCGAGAGTGAAAGACCTCCCGCGCCAGCCCGGGGTAAGTCGTGTCCCGGGCTCTGCCAGAGGGGTGGCGTGCTGAATGCTCATTTCCAGCGTGTGGCAGGGCGGGAAGGGGGAATTCGTACGTGCCGCGGGTGACGGGGAGGGATCCACATGAACTCTAGGAAGGAAGCGTGTAACGCCTCGTTGTGGAGCGCACAGAGCTCAGTGCCGTGTCTTTGTTACATGTTGTAGGTTCGGCCGTCGACAAGAGGAACCGCGACCCGGTTAGTATTCGGTTCGGCCAAAAGCGTTCCCTGGGCAGCCAAAGCTCCGTGCCTTGTGGGCAGCCACCAGGGAGGAGCCCTGGGACTGCTTTCGTTATCCGAGCTCCGAGGCCGACGCCACTGTAACAGGGCCGATCGGGTCCGTTGTTGGCTGGCTCCTCCTGAAGATGGCCTCAGCTATAATGCAGAGAAGGGATTTGGCGGGTTGTTTTGCGCTCCCCGGCCGCCGATAGCGACGTGCGTGTGGAGAACAGATGCTCTTACCTGTCCCTAGGCCTGGAGAAATGAAAAAGCTCTGCCATGAGCTACTTCAAGGGCACCCATTCCTCGTTGGCGTCAGGTCCTGCTGGATTGGATTGAGAGGGCGTTTAATTGCGATGTGTGCCCGCCAGGTTTACGAGCTGAAAGCGGACCCGTGCGGACACTGCCTGATCCTCAACAACGTCAACTTCAGTCAAGACTCGGCTCTGTCGACTCGAGACGGCTCTGACGTGGACTGCGAGAAGCTGGAGAAGCGCTTCAGGGCCTTGTGCTTCAACGTCCTGACTCGGCGGGATCTGAAAGCTCAGGTGAGGCCGGCGGCGTCCACCGAAGGACGAGGCTGTGCTTCCACGCCAGCTCTGACGGGCTCTGTGTTGTGCGCAGCCGGGGGTGCGATTTGCCTGTCTGTGCAGTCCTGGGCCGCTCCTCGGGGAGTGTGGGGAGCTCAACGGTGCGGAGCGGCCGCTGAAAGTAGAACAGGGTTCTCCGCTCGCCCACTGGCCCCTCGTCAGAAGCAGTGCGTTTTGGTGAATAAATCGCGTGGAAGCGTGCTTTGATGTGTGTTGCCGTGTTGTCAAGGACGCAGCGAGGAGGGAAATCGGTGCGATTAAGGCAACCAATGTGAAATCGGGGCAGAACCACCGCCATCCTCACTCTCCGCTGAGGGCTTTTCCTGCCGGTGCGCGGGGCGCGCATTATCCCGCGGCAGAGAGATCGACCGGCTCCCTCTGAGCAGCGCAGACGGATCAGAGTGGGGCACGGCCGTTAGCCCTGTCTGAGGCACGCTTCGAAAAGCCCTTCCCATGACGTTTTCCCGGTAGGAAATGGTGGCTGAGCTGCAGAAGCTGGCGCGGCGGGACCACGGCGCCCTGGACTGCTGCGTCGTGGTCGTCCTTTCCCACGGTTGTCAGGTGGGTTCCTTGCGCCTCTCCCGTCGCTCGGAGGGCAGGCTCCCTGTGCGGGAAGGGGTCGGTTCCCCGCCCCACAGTCTCTCGCAGGGCGGGAGGGCGGTGGTGTGTTGGGATGGATCTGACAGCCGTTCCGCCTTCGCGGGATGTTGCGAGAAGTTACGCTCTCGCATCGGAGTTCAAGAAACCGGGAGCTTCTCCGGGGTAGTCTGATCCGGCGTTGCCCGCGGACGGGCGTTCTCTGTGGTGGAAGCTGGGCTGGGCAACTCGGAACTGAACGACAAGCAGAGAGCCAAGGGCGGTAGCGCTGCCCCTCATGCTGCGGTCGTTTAGTCCTTCCTATTTCCCCAGCTCTGTGGGGGGAGATGCTAGGAGCAGTAAAGCCCACTTACCGCGAGTCAGAGGCCTCGAAGGACGGGGAGGGGAGAGCACGCGTTAGGAAAAGGGCGTACGTCGTCGTGTGCCCGTCGTCCCAGAGGCTGCCGGAGGAGGCGGGGCGGGCGTTGGGTGATGGGAGGAGTTGGATCACTGGGTTTCGGTGCGTCCCCTCGCTCCGGCACGGTGCGCGCGTTCGTACGAACGAGAGGGAGTGGAGTTTGTCCCAGTCGCTTTAGGCTACGAAGCCCCCGATTGGACATGGGCTCCCTTGGAACCGGCCTCGCTTCCCGCATTACTAGCTCCGGGATTTTCCTCTTGCAGACAAGCCATATTCAGTTTCCTGGAAGCATTTACGGAACGGATGGAAAACCCATTCCCATAGAAAAGATTGTGAACTATTTCAATGGGTCCAATTGCCCGAGTCTGAGAGGAAAACCCAAACTCTTCTTCATCCAGGCCTGTGGCGGAGGTGAATCTTTGGTTTGGCTGCAGTAGCGAGTCGGCTGTTGGGCATAAGCACGCGTCGGAGACGCAGTCAGGCTTTGGCTTCTCGTTCCCTTTGTGTTTCCTCACCTCTTTCTCTAT